CATTCCTCAAAATGTAATCAATAACAACTTTGTAACTGTATTTCACAGTGATGCAATAAAAATAAAATAAACAAACACACACGTACACACACACACACACACACACACACACACACACACAAAACAAAAAAAAAAACAACTAGACATTGAGCTCCCATTGACCCAGCAATACCACTTCTGGGAATATACCCCAAGTGCCCAAAAACACAACAGATGTGAAGCCCATGTCCTCAAGACACTTCGCCAGGACTTTCTGCCTGCAGCTCCACCACTCCATGTGAAGCTGTGGCCACCTACTCCTGAGCTGCAGATGGAGCCCCTCCCTACTTGGGGTGGCCTCTGCGGCTGCATACAGATCTACTCAACAAATCACACAATGTTTCTAGGCATTTGGTGAGAATGGGAAATCTCCAGCCTAATCCCTCAGCATCTTCCAGGTGATCTAACTATGAAGACACCAGAAAACCGATGAGGAAAACACGTTAGAAGCCCAACAAGCTCATTAAGCGAAAACAGTATGACTGAAAACTGTCTGACTGAAGACACCACCAACCAATTCAGTAAATCCTCAATGTCTTTCCAGACCCCAAGATGAAGATGTTCCATAAGCTCAAAGAAACAATGGCACAGATAGTCAGCAAAGCACAAGAAAGTATGAGCTGAAGTGGACATGGGTTTCATATTTGTTGTGCCCTAGTGGCCTCGCAGAGCCTGATCCCCAGCTCTCCTCCCTTCCTCATGTTGATTTAGTAAACAGAAGTCACCATTACACTGCATTTGAAATAAAGGTGAATAAGGATCACAGCTGTAACACAGTGGTAGGAAATGTTTAGAGTATGTGCTGGGTTCCCGTATCAGCTTCAAAAAATAAAAGTATACATCATACATGTTGGGCTGGAGCGATAGCACAGCGGTAGGGTGTTTGCCTTGGGTACAGCTGGCCAGCTGAGCCAGATTCGATTCTTCCACCCCTCTCGGAGGGCCCAGCAAGCTACTCAGAGTATCTTGCCCACACGGCAAATCCTGGCAAGCTACCCGTAACGTATTCAATATGCCAAATACAGTAACAACAAGTTTCACGATGGAGACATTACTGGGCCCACTGGAGAAAATTGATGAACAATGGGAGGACAGTGCTACAGTGCCCAAAAACACACAGAAGAAAAGTCATCTATGAACAGTTCTATGTTCATTGCAGCACTATTCACAACAGCCAGAATCTCAAAACAACCTGAGTGCCTGAGCATAGGTGGCTGGATAAAGAAATTATTGTATATCTACACAACGGATGTAGCCGTTATGAAGGATGAAGTAATGAAATTTGTTTATAAATGGATGAAGAGTATCATGCTGAGTGATAGGAATCAGAAGGAGAGAGACAGACAAAGGATGACTACATTCATTTGTGGAATATAATATATATATTATGTATTTTATTATATATATTATATATTATATATACATACACATATAAAACAAAGCCCCTGGATGAGCAATGCAGTTTCTCCCTCTCAGAGATTCTGGCAAGTTACCGAAAGTATCCCACCCACACGGCAGAGCGTAGCAAGCTACCTGTGATGTATTCGATATGCCAAAAACAGGAACAATAATGAGTCTCATTCCCCCGACCCAGAAAGAGCCCCCAGTATGCCATTAGGCTATGCTAGCATGCGACAGGGGAAAATGGAGACAATACCAGTGCCCATTCAAGCAAAACAATGAACAACAGGGCTACAAGTGATACAAGTGACATACACATACACACACACACACACACACACACATATATATATATATATATATATATATATATATTATGAACTTAATATCCAAAGCCAGGGTAAACAGGGGCCACGAGGACTGGTCAATGATTGAAAGCTAGCCACAACAGTGGGGGTGGGGGGTGGAGGGGGATGCAGGGCAGTTAGGATGGAGAAGGAACAAATATGACAATAATAGGTGGAAATTATCATTTTAGACAGGAACTGAGTGTTGAGAGTATTTAAAGGGATATACCTGATAACCTTTCATTATCTGTGTTGCAAACCATGAGGCCCAAAGGAAAAGAGAGGAGGAGGATTGGGGGAGGAGAAGAAAAGTGCTTGCCATAGAGGCAGGTGGGGATGGGGGAGGGATACTGGGACCATTGGTGGTGGGAAATATACAATGATGAAGGGACAGGAGTTGGAACATTATATGACAGAAACCAAATCATGAACAACTTTGTAACTGTGTATGTCACTTGATTCAATTTAAAAGTTGTTTTTAAATCTACTATGTCTAGACTCTGGATCTGATCTAGGAGACATAAATTTAAATAAGATTGGTTCCTATACTTAAATAGCAAAGGGAACTGTTATAATTGCAGATATGCTGACTTGATTAACATGCCTGACTTGGAAATCACTTATTGAGGAAACTCCCTCTGAGGAAACTGCTGGCATTTTTCATTCGGGCTCTTCCCTTGCAAACAATCATTTCAAGTGATTTTATTCTGGCATTCAATTTCCCACCAGCATGGTTCAGTGGTAATCCTTACTCCTGGTTCCCTGGCCCTGAAGTATTTAACATGAAAGGGACATAGGCAATCAGTACTTTGTGACTGACTGATTGCTAGGTTCAGTCATTAATTGCCATATAATTGGAACAATAATAACAAAATAATGGCAGCTAGTAACAGCTTATTAGAGATCAGATATTCTGCCAAGCATTTCACAGACATACATCCAATTTTAATAGAAGTACTATTTTAATAGTTTTGATGGTCATAAAAAAGTGACACAAATTTCAAGTAATTTGCTTACAGACAGCTGGAAAATTATTTACTCAAAATTTCTGCCTTTAGCTACTAATACTATACTGTCTTTCAAAGAGAAAGCTCTTATCTCTAGAAGACTACAAACAAAATTCTGATTCAGACCTCTCCTGCATTAAGGGAGAGGTCAACATAAATTGCTACGCCGATCAAAAGTACGTAACAATTATGTACATGCAAATATGTTAACAGGAATCATATAAACTATACATGAGTAGCTATGTATCTTTAAGATTATTCACTATTTTAGATTCCACAGACCAACTTTTCTGAGTTATCGTCCTGTTAGAAATCACCTATACAGTTTAACTGTTGAGATGATTTGGGTTTTAATGATACTGCCATTAGATTTTAATTTCAGACCTCTGCTTTACCTAACATTCAACACAATACCTGCCACATTCTTGATCCTTAAAATGTAGCAAAAGAATATAATCTTTAGCTCTTAAGACTCTTTTCTAAGGTATATATTCCATTTATAAAAATGTGTGATAACACCTCTATGTTACAAATATAATCAGTAAAGAAACATTTATTTTAAGTAGAGCAAGAAAAAATTATATTTTCAACAGATCAAATTTTTCTCCACTGCTTTTAAAAAGTAATTAAGGGAATAAAAAACATGTTAACACAGCCTTCTGGCTAAATTTTTTTTAATTATAGAAAAGTTAGAAAACTTAGCATTTTTCTCCAGTAACTAAAACCTGACAATAAATATGTTAAGTATGTGTGAAAGTTAGACACAGTAAAAACAAAGTATGACCTAGTAACGAAGTTGCAGTGATTGTTAGGACTGTATGACTAAATAATACACATGTAATAATAACCTAAGCTAATCATAACAAAAGCTATATTTTATATCCTTGTTTTTAACATTAGAAAGTAAAAAAATATCAGTAGATTTTGCAATCAATAAAAATCTACAAAAGGATGAGCAGAGGACTAAGAAATTTTATTCAAAGAGATTTACAAAAAATTGTATGACACCCAACCCAGTGGGTGAAGGAGCTATCATCACAGACTTCAGTAACCCTTATCAAGAACAGGATTTTTTTCACCTCATCCTATTACCCACTCTTTAATGGTCTTTTTTCACATAAACTGTAATCATATTCCATTACAAATCCTTTTCTGGAAATGGGTAGAAAAACCAGAAAGAAAATCTACATATTCTATCTTCTATAGCTAGCTATTTGCCACAGGATAGTCAAAATCAGTAACTCTCTGAAAGACCCTAGTGTTCCGCCCAATGACTATGATATAGTAGATGAAGTCGCCAAGTCCTTAGCTAAAGAATCAGGAGTGCATGCCTTGCATGCTCATGACCCAGGTTCCAACCCAGCCAATCCATAGTCCATGCCCAAGCACCATGTGGTGTAGCCCTGGAGGCCTGCCAAACGCCACTGGTGCTGTCTTACAAGCACCTAAGCACCGACAAGGTGACTCCAGTGGCCCTGAGCACCCTAAGGCCTTCCCAAACAGTGCAGGATGGCCAGATCCAGGCACTGAACTATACAGGCAGGATGTAAATTATCTGGGCAGGATGGCAGAGCAGAAGGAAGGAAGGAAGGAAGGAAGGAAGGAAGGAAGGAAGGAAGGAAGGAAGGAAGGAAGGAAGGAAGGAAGGAAGGAAGGAAGGAAGGAAGGAAGGAAGGAGAAGAAAGAAAAAGAAGAAAGAGAAAGAAAGAAAGAAAGAAAGAAAGAAAGAAAGAAAGAAAGAAAGAAAGAAAGAAAGACAGGCAGGCGGAGAGAGGGAGAGAGGGAGAGAGGGAGAAAGAAAGAAACAAAGAAAGAAAGAAAGAAAGAAAGAAAGAAAGAAAGAAAGAAAGAAAGAAAGAAAGAAAGAAAGAAAGGGAGGATGGAGGGAGGGAGGGAGGGAGGGAGGGAGGGAGGGAGGGGAAGGAAGGAAGGAAGGAAGGAAGGAAGGAAGGAAGGAAGGAAGGAAGGAAGGAAGGAAGGAAGGAGAGAGTGAGAAGAAAGAAAGAAAGAAAGAAAGAAAGAAAGAAAGAAAGAAAGAAAGAAAGAAAATTTATACATACATTCTAAAACCATTTGTCTTTTTTTTTTCTGACACCAGTACAAATTTCCTCTGAAATTCTATAATATTTATTAATATAACAAGTATGTGCTAAGGAGAAATTATGTAAGTTCAAATGTCTTTTAATTTATATTCATATTTTTTTACCTTTTCTTCTAGTTTGTCCTTCAGGTCTTGATACTTCAGCTTCATTTTTTTGTTTTCATTTTCAGTCTGGGTTAATTCCTCTGTCAACCGCTCACACTGTGATTTCAACTTCTCTAGCTGACAGAGACGGACTTTTGCCATATTCTTATCTTCTAAGCTTTCTGCCTGAGGGGAAAAAAGGAGAAAAGAGATGGTCTGCAAGCCACAACCAAATTTTACACCAAATAAAGAATATATTATAACACTGGTGGCAAAGATTTCAAGATTTTGCTATCTCTAAGCATTCATATAAAAACATACTACACACAAAGGAAACGTGCTGGGTTTTCCTCAATCCCTCCTTTGCACTCACTGATCATTTACTTAAGTGGTAGGTGTTGTGCTAGGAGCTCAAGATAACAGACAAGATGGGTGAAAGAGACCTAACAATCAATTTCTACAATGAATAAGTACTTAGCAAGCTGAATATTTTGGCATCCCACGAAGAGACACTAACTCTGCAAAGAGTGGTCCTTTACTAGAGAAGCATCCTAAAAGGAAAATGCCCACCAATATCTGTGACTTTTCTCCTTCCTCATCTACTACAGGAGCTTAAAATACTCCTATTTAAAAAATCATGGTTTAGTGAAAAATCTATGGACTCTTCTGTAATGTAATTGTTGCTAATATACTTGCTGATCTAAAAAAAATTATAAATTGCAGCAGAAACCACAAATAACAATGGTGGAGGGGGTGGGTGTAAAAAGTTTACCTGTAATTATTTCAGCACCAAAAGTCTAAGAAATTGATTTTCCATCTTTTGTTGAATATAACTTTTGTTGAATATATTTTGTTTTGAAGTTCGGAAAAATGTACACTGTGTGTGGGGTTCTATAAAGATTTGCCAGGTACATGAAATTGAAGAATTTTAAAATAACAATACTTCCAAGTCCATTTTTGCAAGAAATAAGATGAGCTGCATTTTTTTAATCATTCCATCCTCACAACATACTAACCAGGAAAGCATGTCTCTAGAATGAAAGAAAAAAGGCACAAATACTGTCAAGTAGTACACAAAAATGTAAAAAGAATTTGAATCCAGGAATTTTGCCAAATGTTCATGCTTTCCAATTTTCCTTCACTGTTTTCAACTGTCCTTCCACATTGTTTTCAAAAGATATAGCTATCATAAGTCTTAAAAAATTGCTGGGTGTAAATTAATGCTAACTTGTCCTACCCAGCCATTAATAAAACTTTATGCAACTACATAGAATCCATTTAAAATATGTTTTGATGTCTAAAATATATGTTTCTCTCATTTTTATAAGTTTTAAACTTCATTTTTATATGTCTTTAATCATGTTTATAGGGAATACAATCACTAGAAGCAATTTGCTAAAGGGAAGAATTGCTTTGTGAGTCTTAGAAAAATCTATGTTTTATGCTGGAGTGCCCTCGGGAGGAACTTGCCCTATTGAAGCTCTGGCAGTCACATCTCTACCCCACTATGCAGCTATGCCAAGGGCTCAACTCCACCCATAGTTTCACTTCTATTCTCTGCAGAGACACCAAGCTGCAAATAATTTCAGGTACTCCGGTGCCAGACCATAGATCCTGAAGTCTCTGGACCATGTGACACCTCTTAATTCCTCAATACTGATATTCCAGTTGAAGCACATTAAATTAGATGGGAAAGTAACACTGAAGCCAGCTAAACTCAACAAACAAAAACAGTAACACAGATGGCTCAACTAGCAACATAAACAACTTAGTAAATTTTTGAATGAGGTTTAACAACCCTATGATGAGATAAAACAATTTTCAGATAAAATTATTTTTATTCTTATTGATTTTAATATTGAGTTCTGTTGTCTAATCAATTTCAACTCTAGAACTGTATCAACAGTTGTGAATTTCGTCTACATTAAAAATACATCTAAAATAAAAATCTATGTTTTAGTCACCTCTACAAAATTTACCTAAGATTTGAGGCCCCTTGATTTGGAACTGGTTTCTTTTTATATGGTCAGTTCTATATTCACAATTCAAAAGAGAAATAGGCAATACAACTTATACTCTTTCATTAAAAAAAATTATTCAGCTATGATTTTAAAGTTCAGTACAAAGAATTTACTTTTCTAGCAGCAAAAAGTACTGGCAGGCACCACAGCACCAGGCCCCATACCAAGCAGATTTCACCAGGATGCCCCAGATGGAGCAGGTGCAGTCTCCCTGCCTTCTCCAGATGGAAGTCCGGTGACCATGAGCTTCTACAAGCAAGGCTCCAGTATGTGGTTGTCAGGACTAATTCTCTAACCTGCATTGGAATATCTGCCTGCAGAGATGTCTCTAAAACTGAACCATTTATAAATCAGAATCTCAGAGGCATGCAGCCGCTTATGTGGCTGCGTAACCTTTCATGACATGCAAAGTGAGCAATGGAAAATAAATGATCTGGTGCCTGCCCCTGAAAGGCAGGATTGAATGTTGGTGGGAAAATTCAAGCAAAACATAATGCCCAAAAGTAGAGAAAGAGTATCTGAGCAACTGTCTCCAGAGAGGCAGGGTAAGAGCTGGAATGGAAGTGGGGAGGATAATGGGAACATGGGTGGTGGAAAGTTTGCACTGGTGGAGGGATGGGTGATCGATCATTTTATAGCTGAACCTCAAACATGAAAGCTTTGTAACTGTATCTCACAGTGGCTCGATATTTTTTTTAAAAAAATAAAAAATAGAATTTACTCTTCTAGATAAGACAGATCAAAATGATCCCTTTCTCATTTGTGGGATATCGGGATATGTAGTAAGGGAATAACAAAGCAAAGTCACCAGAACTGGAGACTGAATCTACAGAACTGAGCTTACTTGTGGTTGGGCAATAGGAAAATTTCCTTGGGACACTGATGGACAAAAGCAGAAAACTCTGGTATACATGACACTACCACTGACAGGATTGTAAATCAGATATACTGACAAAAATGGAAAAATTTAAATAAAAAATTAAGTATATGTATAGCAATGAAGCACTTGCTTTGCATTTGTGAGCCCATGGACTTGTCTAACATACACACAATAAATAAACAAACAAATAAATAAATAGTAAAACCAGATATACAGAAAGAGATTTTCTCGCAAGATTGGTGATGTTTAGAAACCATCTTGTAGGCTTTTTCTCCTACTTCTAAAGGGCCTATTTCAACATCTTTGCTTGCACACCAATTCCTAAGTTCAAATAAGAACTTATTTTTTCTGATTTCATTATTACATTTTCATTTCATTTTGGGCTTTATGAAGCCATCTCACACTTACAAAAAACCAGTGTAGATAAAAGCATGTTTCTTCCCATCTAATTGATGAGGTGAAAGCTGACTGAGTAACTGAATCAAGATTGAATGGCAAGCAAGTGGCAAAATTAGAAAATTTCAATACTGAGTCAATTGACTCCAATAAAAGAAATGGCCTTGTTGGAAGTATTAATGAGATAATAACTCAAAATCCTTTACATAATATCAAGTATATTCCTATAAAATATTTTATATTTAAATTTTAAATGACACAAGAATAATTTTAGTTGAAAAAAATGTAGTTGTGTAAAGAAAAAATAGGGTAACAAATCAGTAAAATTAATCAATGTAAAGGCAAATACAAATATAGTTACTACTCCAAAGCCCTATAGTATAGTTGCTAAATCTTCTCTGATGGCCATTGTTATCAACTCCTATTAGTAAGTAGAATGTACAATAACTAAAATTAATGAAGTTGGGGTTGTTCCTTATGGGTATCATACTTAATTGTAAAGGAAAGTGTAGGGCTCTCATGAGCATTTCTGCTCTTGTGTTGCTTTGTTGTTTTACACTGCAGAATAATTATACCACATCTCCTAGACCTTTATCTTCCAAATTAAAACACAGTAGGCTAAAACCTCCAACGATCTACAGAGCCATTACTGATTATGTGCTCCTTATATATAGGTAATTTTAAAAAGTTTAATTGTTATCATAAATATGAAACACTTGCAAAAGAAGCCATGAGGACATTAATTTTCCCTCATTACAATTATTTACATTTCAGATTACAGAGCAAGTCTAGAGCAGTCCACTGATTTCCAGCTTTTTTGGCATTTTAACCCAATATCCATCGAATATCTTCTGTATGACTCAAAACATATGCTAAATAATGACAGAGAAAACAAAAATGACTAATACCTGATTCCAGTCCCTCTGGACACTTACCAACATACAGCGAAGGGTGTAGTTTAAACACTCTCCAAAAAAACCTGAAGGCCAGGGCCGAACTTAAGTTCTCCATCAGGTGTGTGAATCAACCTGAATGACCGCCCATCCCTGCAGCCTGCACCCCAGCCCTCTCCCAGAAGGAAAGTTCCTCCCAGCATCTCACCCAGGAACCACACCCCCCTGCCAGTCACCGCCCCAAAGGGCCGAACCTAAATTCATCTGGTGTGTGGACCCCAAGCATCGCCCCTCTACGCCCCAGGATCTACCCAACTAGCACACCTTTTAAATCTCCAACCACAAAACCATAAGAATGTACTAGCATGGAAGAAGGATGTTTGCCTTGCACGCAGCCAACCTGGGTTCAATTCCTTCACCCCTCTCGGAGAGCCCAGCATGCTACCGAGAGCATCCCGCCTGCACAGCAAAGTCTGTCAAGCTATCCGTGACACATTTGATATGCCAAAAACAGTAACAAAAAGTCTCACAATGGAGATGTTACTGGTGCCCACTCAAGCAAATCGATGAACAACAGAAGGACAGTGCTACAAGACAGTGCTAACTCTCAGATAAGAAATTTAAAATGGAGGTTTCAAGGAATTATAAGGAGCTCAAGGAAGCAATGGAACACACTGCTGATAAAATACAAGAGTATCCCTGAGAACAGAGGTGAGGAAAATACAAATAAAAATACAAGCAGAAATGACAGACCTAAAAATCTTGGTAGGTGAAATGAAAAACAGTGGAAGATCTCAGCAACAGAATAACAGCTGCTGAGGATAGAATCAGTGAGCTCCAAGATGAGGTGCAGAGAATCTCCAGACAACAGTAGAAAATAAAAAGGAGCTTCAAAATAAACCAACAGATGTCAAGAGAAAATCAAGATGAAGGCAAGAGGAATAACATAAGAATCTTGAAGTCCCAGAGGGACAGGAAGAAAACTCTGATGAAGAA